GGGGGGGGGGGGGGGTAAGTGCCGATTCAGCATCACGGGCCTGAGCTCACCATGCCGCCTTGGTCCTCGCCGGTTTTCTCCTCTTGATCACGGGCGACTGATCCCGGCTCGACCTCCTTCTGTTGCGCTTGGCTGCTAATCTCCGAAGTCATCGGCCGCCTTTGGCTCTGCCCCGGCCGGCCACTCTCCACCCCGATCCGCGATCAAGCCCCGTGCGCCTCCTCGCCCGATCCGCCACTCCGCACCTCCTCTCGCCGGCTGAATGCAACAAGCACTTGCTCTAGCTAGTTACGGTCGGTTTGTGTTACCGTTTCAGAAACTAAACGAAGGATGGAAGAAAAAGGAAGACTCGCTAACACTAACGCTTGCGAATCTATCTCCAGTACGGGTCTACTTCATACTCTAATAAGCCTTAATGGGGATCTGCGAGCGTTTTTAACAGACGGCAGAAATTCACACTCCGCCACCGTCCCGACAGACAATGCGACCACCCCCTCCATCGCGCTCGCTCTTCCCGAGATGGTCCTCACTGCAGAACACAAGATCCAGGGGGCGAGGTTGGATCCAGATCCAACTCCTCCCACCTTACATATGCCTAAACCTAGCCGGCTCCACCCCCTGGATCTTTGTTCTGCAGTGAGGGGCTTCTGCTCTTCCCTGACAACAGAGCGCAACACGTGCTGCGCCGCATAGCGACAGACTCTGAGCGAAAGTGCAGCCGGGCAACGGCGAACCATGACACAGCGATGAATCTATTTACAAGTCCTCCACCCAAACTAATGACAACTCTTTATTATTTTTGTGTCATTTGAGATGCTTATGCTCTTCATTATGATTTAAAATACTATACTATATATATTACTATTGTTATATTATTGTAAAATATTATTACAATTTTAAATAACTATTTTCTATTTGAATATATTATAAAATCTAATTTATTCCTATGATGCAAAACTGAATTTTAAGCATCATTACTTCAGAAATCATTCTAATATGCTGATTGGCTGTGCTTGGCTATTAATAATGGTTCTTCTCATTTTTATTGTAAAATTATTTTTTCCGGATTCTTTGATGAATAGTTTAAAAGAACAGTGTTTATTTGAAATTAAATCTTTTGTTACATTCTAGCCTAAATGTTTTTACTGTCACTGTTGATCAATTGATTGCATATTTACTGAATAAAAACATTAATTTCTATTAAACACACACCCCCCAAACATGAATGGTAGTAAATCATGGTTTCTGCATACATTTTAAGCAGTGCAACTGTTTTCAACATTGATAATAAGAAATGTTTCTCAAACAGCAAATCAGAATATTAGAATGATTTCTGAAGGATCATGTGATACTGAAGACTGGAGTAATAGCTGATGAAAACTCAGCTTTGTATCACAGGAATATATTACATTTTAATATATGTAACAATAGAATAGTTATTTTAAATTGTAATACTATTTAACAATGAACTATTTAGCAATATTTAGACTTTATTGAAATATTTTAAAATCGTAATGTTCCCTAACTTTTGACAAGTGCTCTCTCTCTCTATTTATATGTGTATGTATATATGTATGCGAGTGTGTGTGTGTACATCATATGTCTAGATAATTGTCTTCAGAAGTCTACACAGAAAAAATTCGTAAATCATGGTTTCTGCATACATTTTAAGCAGTGCAACTGTTTTCAACATTGATAATAAGAAATGTTTCTCAAACAGCAAATCAGAATATTAGAATGATTTCTGAAGGATCATGTGATACTGAAGACTGGAGTAATAGCTGATGAAAATTCAGCTTTGTATCACAGGAATATATTACATTTTAATATATGTAACAATAGAATAGTTATTTTAAATTGTAATACTATTTAACAATGAACTATTTAGCAATATTTAGACTTTATTGAAATATTTTAAAATCGTAATGTTCCCTAACTTTTGACAAGTGCTCTCTCTCTCTCTATATATATGTGTATGTATATATGTATGCGAGTGTGTGTGTGTAAATCATATGTCTAGATAATTGTCTTCAGAAGTCTACACAGAAAAAGTTAATTTTAATGAATGTAACACAATGTCAGGTTTTAAATGTCAACTTTGAATTTTTTTTCAGCATGGGTGGAAAATTTTACATTTTACAGCAGTCATAATGTTTCTGCTCTCTGTAACATGGACTAGTAACTGCTTGGGACAATAAATCAAGCTATTCCTTTTATTGTTTTGACATGAAAATACTAGTAATGAAATGCATATATTTGTACATTTCTTTGAACTCACTTTTTGAAAAACAAGAACCTTTTCTTTAGCCAATTTCAGATGTAAATATTCATGTTCAAAATATTTGCTGTATTGAAAAAAATCCATGACAAATGTTTGCCACAAAGTAAATCTCCTTCAATGACTGGAATGAATCCCAGTGGTGGGAGGCTTTGTGGATACAACCACAGGCCATGCCCAAAGCTTCATTTGTTCACTAAACATGAGAATGAAAACATGGAACAGAAAAATTCATTAGTTGTTTGATGCAGGAAAAAAGTGCTGGACTTTCTTATCCCGCCAAGGAGATGTGAACATATTGACATCTGAGCTGTGGTTCTCCATTTCAAGGGTTTAGAACGGCTCCGTCTGAAAGGTAAATGTTCAGAACCTCCCCAGAATTTTCTGCCATGCTGCTTGGAACTGTTTTTAGGCTTTGGTGGTGCCAGACTGTGATGCCTGTTGGCTGTGCAGCTGCTGAAGCTTAATATTCATGACTTCCACAACAGCTGTTAGGAGGCAAATGAAACCTTTATTTAATGCATTTACGATTTGTGCACAAATTTTACATTTTTACTGCTTCATTTGTTCACTAAACATGAGAATGAAAACATGGAACAGAAAAATTTATTAGTTGTTTGATGCAGGAAAAAAGTGCTGGACTTTCTTCTCCCGCCAAGGAGATGTGAACATATTGACATCTGAGCTGTGGTTCTCCATTTCAAGGGTTTAGAACGGCTCCGTCTGAAAGGTAAATGTTCAGGACCTCCCCAGAATTTTCTGCCATGCTGCTTGGAACTGTTTTTAGGCTTTGGTGGTGCCAGACTGTGATGCCTGTTGGCTGTGCAGCTGCTGAAGCTTAATATTCATGACTTCCACAACAGCTGTTAGGAGGCAAATGAAACCCTTATTTAATGCATTTACGATTTGTGCACAAATTTTACATTTTTTTTGTGAAATCACCTTGTTTCATAGCATGTTTTTCTTGAAGGGCAGGCTGAATTTTCTCAATTTGTTTTGTAAGGAAGTCGATTTTGCGCTTAAAGAACTCTTTGCCATCCTCTACTTTCTGAAAAGATAAAAAGCAGTGAGATTTCTTTGGTAGCGTTTTAAAAGACACACACACACACACACGAGTGTTGTAGGAATGACTAATAATTTTAATAATATTATAGGCCAACCCCGAAGTTTGCATCACCCTGGATTGCTTGCCAAAACAACAACAAGATTATTCCATTGACTTTTAAGTTACTGCTCTGTGACCAACAAAATTTTATGATTCTTATAGGTTTTCTTCATCATGCTAATTTTCACAATTGAACTACTTTTATCAATTTAAAAAGCCTAAATACCACTACCAGAAATAAAAAGCTAAAGTTAGGCTACAAACAAACTACGGTCACATGACTTCATCGTTAGCAAGCACCAAGTCACATAGCATCTGACAAATCTTACAGTCTTTATTCAAAATCTACAAGTTGGAAAGTTTGAGTTAGAATAGTTTGCAAGAGCGCAATTTTCCAAGACACGTAAAAGCTTTAAAAAAAATCCTGAGCTTATGTTAACCACAGACCTTATTTTCAGGCATTGAACCAAAAACAACAAAATGCATGAGTCACTCTCTGTTGTAAACAAATAGCGTCAGCTTTCGCACAAGTATGTGCCCACGCTCACGTCATTATGCAACAGAGGAAGTTTGCGCTCCAGACAATCATGAACAAGCTGAAAACTGTTTGCCCAGGCTGTGGATTAAAGGTATTAATGTTGTAAATAATGTAAATTTTCTTGCACAGATCAATCGTTTCATTTCATAAGACCTTAATGTATCATCAGGCGTCATCACTAAAAGTCTTCTTTACTGTTCTGCTGAAGAAAAAAAGTCACCTACATCTTGGATGGCCTGAGGGTGAGTAAATTAACAGGAAATTTTTGGGTGAACTATCCCTTTAAATTAACTTCTGCCATAGCTCTCATAGCTCAATTGTGTCCTGCCATGTTCTTGAAAACAAACGTCATTGGTTCTCACCAAAAGAAAAAAAAAAACAGCAACACATTGGACATTCTGCAAAATAACTCCTTAGTGTTCCACAGAAGTCAAAGATTTTAAATTATGTGAATGATTGGTGAACTAACTCCAAGAGCTTTACTAAGTAGTAAATATTCTGCACGCTGTGCTTGTACTGAGTGGCATATACCTCTTTCAGATGACTGTGTCCAAGTACTGCATGTAATGAGGGCATGCGAGTGACAGAACGAGACTTCAGACAAGCAATGTTCTCCCATGGCAACCTCTGCAAGAACTGAGAAACAAAATGTTCAGCATATGGTTAAAAACAAATCTAGCAGTTTTTGCAGAGCAGATTTATGACAGTGTACCTTGTCTAAGATGAGAACTGTATGTCCCTGTGGCTCCTCCCTTCCTCTCAGTTTAGCCACACCACCCTGCATAACCCTCAGGAAGTCCTTGTCCTGCTGACCCATCCCCTCCACAAGGCACTGCAGGTCTGGCAGGGACAGGAGTGGAGATGCTGAGAGAATCACCTTCAGAGAAAAAGAAGTATTGAGAAGGTGGGAACATGTGATTATCAAACTAATACAGGTGCAAAAGAGATACCACATACCTTAAGAATGTCCTGTGTGATCTTTGTTCCTTTCAGTGCCTTTTGGAAGCACTTTACCTGAACTTCAAGCTTGGAATCAGAGATCAAAGGCAGGAGTAGAGTTCGCCACACACCTAAAGCCTCTTCCATCTCTTCTAACATTTTCTGATGGACAAACAAAGGCAACATCACATTCAGTATCCAACATCCATCCTTTTACATTAATCATTTTTTAACTGTCAAAGAACTTGTGTCTCACCTCCACACGAACATCCAAAGACTTTCTTCCTTCCCA